CAGGAGCCAATCACCATCAGTTCAGAGCAGGTAAGAAGCTCTTGATTTGAATAGTATATACCCTCAGTACTTTGAAGCACTTAGAAAGCCTTTGTGCCTACAGAAGCATTGAGCCGGCCACTGCCAACCACGTTCTGGAAACTGTAAAAAATTAATCAAGGCAACTGGACTTGCTGTATTTTTCTTGTAGCCATTTTACTGGTCATCCGATCAGCTTTCTCAATTCAGAATTGAGAAAGCTGGTCAGATAACCAGTGAAACGTCTTCAAGGAAAATACAGCAAGTTCAGTTACCTTGATTTATTTTTTACAGATATACCATGACCTGGATGAATGAGAACCTTCACAGACACCTTCTGGAAACGCTAGTTGTCTGGCAGTCATGCATCAATGTAATGATGTTGGTATTTTTTTGAGTTACTGCATTGAGCATCCTGCAAATTAAGCCAGAGATCTCAATCTGTATATTTGTGTTCAGTCAGGAATTCAGAAAACATGGAGGGCATCAGATTAGCATGACTACCAGGCAACTAGCAATTCTAGAAGGAGAAGCAACCAATGGCAACCTAAAAAGCAAACCTTTAAATGTTAGTTCCTTGGCTGTCATGCCGAACCTTGAGATAATGACCCTGGACAAGTATGCAGAGCCAAAGTTCTGACTTTGACACTATGAATATACTGTATGTTCCAAGTCAGTGGCTTGGAATGCTTTGAAACCAGAGACAGCCAGGCAACTAGCATTTCAGAAGTAGGATAACAATGGCAGCCTCTATATTTATTTCCACAAATGTGTAAGAAAGGGACAGAGGAAATCTTTAGAAATCCTACATTCAGGTGCTTAGTTTTCCTTTATTCATAGTAGCAGATTGTTTTTCTATACTTGGAAATCTTGATCCAAGGCAATGAAACCACAATACCTCATTGGCCAGATGCCCGGTCTTTAGGACTCCAAGCTTAAATGATCATTTCATGAACATTGTAAATGACAGTTAACATTTCTCTAACCTCAATCCACAGCTACAGCACTTCCGATGTTTGCAGTGCTCATCAGAGAATGAAGATCCAGAGTTCATATTAGAGAACCACAGACCACTCCAACCTCTTGAAAGCAGATTAGTGAAAACATCACGCAAACAGTTGGCACCTAAACTTTAAATGTACCTCTACTGCAATGTTATATCAAGAGCTGATGCCACATGAAGATAATCAAACTCCAACTTCTCCGGAAGACTAATAGTGTGCAGAGTTATCCACTTCCAAAAGGTTTTCTTCCAAATTAACAAACATTGTAAAATAACCGTTCTATGCCGCCATCCGTTTATCCAGTGTTTACAGTAAACCGCATAGACCTGCTGATACCTGAAAAGCAATAACCATACTTGGATTCTTTGCTGCCAAGCAGCTCAGTCTACATTTGGCTAAAATGCTTCTGTATATGTATATAAAATGTTATATATTGCTGTATCACAGCATGCCTCATTGTTACATTATATCATTTTTACATTCTAAAGAAGAGTTTATTAAACAGTAACTTATTACAATACAACTTACACGTTTATGAAAAGTAGCAAAGCAGAATGAAAATAAAATTTACCAGGTATGTCTTAGCTACAAAGGGTTACTTCAGCCTATCAGAAAAGAGGACATTTCCAAGCAATAGGTGGCGAGAGACCTGTCCACCCTCAAATATCCACCTTCTGTTCATAATGGGACCTAACTGGTTGCTTTAGGCTTCTGTTTGTACTGGGACCTAATCGGTTGCTATGGGCTTCTGTTCTTCCTGGAACCTACTTGATTGCTCTGTGCTTCTTTACATACTGGAACCTAATTGATTGCTATGGGTTTCTGTTCATCCTGGCACCTAAATTCTTGCTATGGACTTCTGTACATACTGGAACTTATTTGGTTGCTATGGGCTTATGTCCATATTGGGATTAAATGGATGCTATTGGCTTTGTTCATACTGGTTCCAAATTGGCTGATATGGGCTTTTGTTCACCCTGGATCATAAATGGTTGCCATGGGCTTCTGTTTATACTAGAACCTAATGGGTTGCTATGGGATTGTATTCATACTGGATCCTAATTGGTTGCTATGGGCTTCTGTTCATACTGGAACCTAACTGGTTGCTATTGGCTTCTGTTTGTACTGAAACCTAGTTGATTGCTATGGGCTTCTGTTCATGCTGGGACCTAATGAGCTGCTATGTGCTTCTGTTCATCCTAGAACTGAATTTGTTGCTATGGGCTTCTGTACATATTGGGCCTTAATTGGTTGCTATGGGCTTTTTATTCATACTGCACCGTTATTGGTTTCTATGGGCTTTTTATTCATACTGCATCGTTATTGGTTTCTATGGGCTTTTTATTCATACTGCATTGTTATTAGTTGCTATGGGCTTTTTATTCATACTGCATCGTTATTGGTTGCTATGGAATTCTGTTCATCTGAAACCTGATTGCTTGCTATAGGCTTCTGTACCATTTGCATATCATCATTATTAGCTGCACTGGACACTTTAAGTGTATGATATGCTGTAATATTTGCAGTGCATGGTAGATATCACTTCATTGTTAGCAACATAAGCTGCTGAATTTGAACAATTGAGTTGTTCAGGACAAGTCACATGTCCTTGTCTGAAAGCTTTAGTTGTGTGACTCCTTTTCATTAAATCCCCAACTTTCCTTGGTTTAGGGATTTTCAGCCATCCTACATGCACGTGATTTTTTTTTTTCCTCAAAGAACTCCAGTCAGAAGACTGCATGTGTGGACAGATACCACGTATAGATTATAATGTATTGTTTTAAAATGTATCTGAAATGAAAAGAAGAACAGAAGGGCGCCTAACCTAGTGCAGATTATTTTTATTTAAAAGACACAAAAGTAAAATTGCAATGGTACTCACAATAGTGGGTCAAAAAACAGCTCGTATGGATGATTTCACAGAAACAGCAGCTGCAGGGCTGTAATCTGTTTGTATGCCACTGTAATGTGACGTTGTTGACGCGTTTCCGGGGGTCACGCCCCCTTCCTTCCTCACTATTGTGAGTACCATTGCAATTTTACTTTTGTGTCTTTTAAATAAAAGTAATATATACACATATACAACACTCAAGTACCAGGATCCGTTCATAGCGCTTTGACTACACTATATATGTATCTGACATGATGTTATAGGCTAATGTATTTAGTACTGGCCATTTGAAGGGTCATTCCACCTAAATTTGAATTATATCCACCCCAAATCTGATAGGCGATTTAACCTACATTTCGGTTTTGGATGAATTGCAGCCAGTTAGAATGGCCCTGTCACCACTGGGTCACTAGTATACAATACCATACATGTAATAGAAGAGGCAATATACTTACTCTCCGGGGGCTTGTGTGTTAAAAAGTTGTTTGACACTTCAGGTGGGTGAAATATTTAGTTTCCCCACCGCACACTGTGTTTCCTCCCCCCAGCTCATGTGTCCTGTAGTGAACCACAGCATGTAGCGCTGGTAACAGGTATTTTACCCCTCTGAAGTGTCAAATACCTACAGCGGCTAGGAGGTAGCAAATCGGTGGTGGTTTACTACACGGGCCACTGGAAAGGTAAGTATATTCCCTCTTCTTCAATGCATTGAGATGCACATTCAATGCTGTTTTTAATGCATTGAGATGTCTATGGAACCGCAACTGCGCCACATGCACCTGAAAGTAGCTCCTGCACCTTTTTGCACAACAGGAGATTTCGGCCGCGCGACGCAAGGCAAAAGGTGTGAACAGACCCCATTGACTTTGATGGGTATCTGTGTGTTGCGCGATATCGCGTGGCCACATCCATGCGATAAATCGCCTAGGTGTGAACCTAGCTTTAACTGGTACGGAATACAGTATACAAGTAACCCAGTGGTGACAACCTAACATTCACATGGGCAATCATAGATGAACAGCTAAGCTGTTACATGCGATTAGGGGCTCTGACCGGCGCTAAACGCAGTTTGCATCCAGGAATGCCGTTTTTAGCCGCCAGATCCTCGACTACCCCTGCAGCAGCACAGCTTAGTAAAGACACTCGGTCCAAACAAATCCTCAGCTTTCTGACTGCATATGTGGGACCACGGGCTGCCAGTGGCTGCCTAAGGACAGTATGGACTGTATTTATATTAATGGGTGCACATGTATGTATGTATATCTAAATGAGAGCATTCTATTATCACATCTGCTGCTCTGATACTGATGTCTGTGAGGTGAAATGCTCATTTTGGTCTGGGGTGTAAAATAAATAAAAAAAATACTCACCTGAACCCGCCTAGCTGTTAGACTGGTCCCCACAGCCTCTCTTCCCCTCTCTGCTCTGGGAGTTTAAGGATCCGTGAGTCATCACATCTAATACAGTGAGCAGAGGGCCAGGGAGGCTGCAGGGACTGGTTTAGCAATCAGACGGGACCATAGGTGAGTATTTTTTTGTTTTATGTCACACTCTAGGCCAAAACAAGCAGTTAACCCCTGCAGTGCGAGGGTCTGCCTGGAGTTCTTCTTTAATACAGTCTTATATTTAAAAGAACTAACCATAAGCTGATAGATTTTCGTGTGAACATTCATTCAAAAAATCTCGCCAAACATTCGATAATGGCATCAGAAACTTGAAGAATATCATTCGAAAATTTTGTTTGGTTTTAACTTTCGATTTTGGAATGAATGGAGTTTCTCAAACATAAACCACATTCCCAGTTAGAATTTTGTTCTTTCAAGGAACATTTTCGTTCCTCGACTTTCAATTTTTTTTCCTAAATATGATTGATTTGAGCCCATTAACTATTAGAAAACCGCACAAATTCCACAGGTGTATGGCCAGCTTTACTTGAAGTGAAAGGAGGGTATTTCTAAGTAAAACTTGCACTTTTTGTTGTTGCTGCCTCCTTATCTGTGGTCTCTGTATTGACATACAGTGTAGGCAGGCTCCTTCACAGATAGAAGCTCTGCACATTACTTAAGAGCTTAGACGGCCACTTCCCACTAACCAGCATGCTGTGAAGATCTGCTGACTGCGAATAGGGGCTACAAGTACTACAGGCATCTCTGACCTCTTCTGTTAGGAATTTAACTGAACAAATAGGATCAAGTGACTGAAACTCATTTCTAGAGACTTTGTTCTAGAGGTGATTGCTGAGAAATCTGCAGAAGTATGAACAACTGGGGTTATGCAGACCATAATGGTAAGATTTACTTACATGACATCTTTGATTTACTGATCGCCAACTGAGACTGCAATGTATTATGCAGAGTAATGACATCCTGATACAATTTAACCCTTTATCCCGATATATTACTCTAGCTGGTAAGCACATTTCCAGTTTAATCTGACTGTATACAGTGCAAGGCATTGATGATTAGTGGTAGGAAAGTTTTTACAATATGCCATTGTTCTCTACTATCTGAGTGGAGATAAGTCCAATATCCAGTACAATGGAGGTGCATGGCAAAGTGAAAGATCATCTAAAGGGTCATTGCTGATACAAAAGGTAAAGTAAATCCAAATGCAATCACAAAATTCCCATTTTTTTAATCTACAGCTGCTTAATAACCAGACAATTCTGCCTGTAAGTCCTTGTTTACACATTTTCTGTTATAGGGTGACAACGGTGTGTCTGCCTCACATCTGCTCTGCAGCATTGCCATCCCATCACATGTGATTCTACTGGTGACGATAAGTGGTTGTACTGATGCTCATTGCATGGACATATTCCTGTGTTGTCGCTTTGAGCAACGACAAGCAATCACTGCTGGAGCACATGCATGTGGCTGCAAAGAGGCTGTTGGAGATCAGCAGCGCTAAGGGTTTCTTCATACCACTTACAGTGCGTCCCAGCATGATTCACTGCTTGAATGTACTGTATCACATCCTGGCCGGCTACCTGCGTTCTGGGGTGGGAGGGGCATTTGTAATTTTTCATAACTGACATTTTTCATAACTGTTGCATCTTAGGGCTTGTTCACACCACTTATTGTGCGTTCCAGTACTATTCACTGCAAGAACGCAATCCAATTGCATCCTGGCCGGCTCCCTGCATTCCGGGCAGGAGGGGGCGTGGCGATGCATTGATGTCAATGGCACAGCAGCCATGCCCCTGCCCACAGCAAAACGCTTGGCACATCAATGCCTGTGTTCCGGTCCAGTGTGATCAGAAAAATCTGCTGCAGCAATCTGATCGCACAGGACCGGAATGCAGGCATTGATGTGCCAAGCGTTTTAGTGCAGGTGATCACACTGCTGGCAGGGGGGCGTGGCTGCGGTGCCATTGACTTCAATGCCACGCCCCCCTCCTGCCCTGGAATGCAGGGAACCGGCCAGGATGTGATTTGATTGCGTTCCTGCAGCAAATAGTACTGGAACGCACTGTAAGTGGTGTGAACAAGCCCTAAGATGCAACAGTTATGAAAAATGTCACAGTAATATTTTCTAAAAGAAAATGACAAGGCATTTGTTCATGATACACACTGCTTTAGCAAAGTAAATGTTATCCATTTAGAGTTAAGATGTGCTTCAAATCATATTTATGTTCTGCACTGAAAGCAGACAGAATCTTATTCAGCTGTGTAGTGCTGGGTTAGTGTTCACCTCCTCTAAAAATATGCAACAGGGCTGACCGCATTTGAAAATAATTTTAAGGGATTCTCTGCCAAAGAAAAGGGTTATCCCGAGTCTTCGCATGTAATGTTAGCTTGAAAAGCCATAAAAAACGATATATTTTGTATTGCAGATACACTGTACATAAGATTTTATGCCTTTCCATAAATGTGTGTTGGGTCTTTTAGACAATATAGAGGGAAAAAAACAACGAATACAGTAAAGCAGACATTATGCAGGGAAACACTTCAAGTAGAACAGTTCAAAATACAATCCCAAGATAAAATATCTGATCGCATCAAATTGTAATGTATAATTAATACAATAAAAACATTTGCATTTAAAATGCTGTTACTCAGCTAATTTTGTTGATAGAAGTTTGTTTGCCAAAACAGATATTACAGTTTCCTTTAGGTGCTGAAAACCAATGCAACCTAATGATAGATTCTTATGACACTCAGGTACCTTAGGTTCCCGTTTACCCCTAGGACCCCTGAACATAAGGAATTCCATTGTTTGCTACGGCCCCTGTTCACACTTAAGCAGTTTGTTGCCTGCAGAAAAACCTGTCACTGGAAAAAGTACATAAGCTAATTTTCTGCAGCTTTTTGCATGTTTGGCTCCATAAACTTAAAGAACTATGAGGTGAGGGATTTCCATTCATCCTCATAGTTAGAGCCGACCTGTGACAAAACAAGCTGTCGCAGGTCAGCTCTATTGATCGGGAAGTGAGCAGAAACATGCACCAATCTGCTCACTGTCAGTCACCGTTTCCTCCAGGGATTCCCCCCCCTCCCCTCTCCGATTCTCCAGCGCTGAGTAGAGGAACAAATGGGGGAGAGGGCGGATACAGCTGGCTCTGCCTCACAGAGCTGGGTGGATCTCTACAGAATTGTCGGGATCCCTCCCGGCTGCGGCTCTCTCAGTATATTGCAGGCAATAGTATATGTCCCCCTGTGGCCCTAAAGAGAACTATGGGGAAAAACACTTACACTATAGTCCTCTTTTAAAGAACGCCTAGAAACGCACAACACAAACATTTTTACTTGCGTTTGGAGGTTTACATGTCTCACAAACTGACAGCCAAAAATCTTAACTAAATGTCAGACATGCAAGAATGTTAGACAAAAACGAGTGACAATATGTACACAAATGCTGGGGCCTAGGTGTGAATGCGGTTCTAGGGATGAGGTCTTTGTACTTGAGTTCCCCAAGTTTTAAGAACAGGGTCCAATTGTGACTAAGCTATATATGTATATATATTGTTAATTCAACAGCAAAAACTACAGCGACAATTCATGCATCCCTGCCTTTTATTCAGAATGTAGCTGTAATTTCCCTATGCATCTTCCAGGGCAGCACAGGAGAGAGAGGATTCACCCACCTAAAACAGGAAATACATCATCCACAGTTACAATAAAAGGGGCGGTCCCTCCCCTCAGTTGTTGTGTTTCCACCGGCCTAACAGTAGCATTGTAACCGTTTGTTATTTTTCCATAAGCCTATATGCTAGTTGCTGGGGCCCCCCAGTGTATGCGGCCACATGATTCAGGGACAGTGGACCTGGAGGGGTTGCATGCCTGGGCTTGTCCTGGCTAGAATTTACCTTTCTTGCGTTACCTTAATTGTGGGACCCTCCCCATCCCTTTCCCCAAGGTTTCTTATCCATCCTGAGGAGAAGCAACTATCCTCCTGAGCACAGAGGCTCTAGTTGAGCCCTCCCTTACTCACATTTGGTTTGGCTCATGAACCTGAAGTGTTCAAGCAGGCTTCCTCTGGTCAGCAGTGCTACACCATTCAGCCTCATTCCGCCATTCCAGCTGCTAAGGTAGGTTGGAGCTCTTTGGTTAAGTCTCCTTCCTCGTATCCCCATATTGTGGGTAGGGAGGGCACAGTGTGGGCGAAACCCCTGGGAGGATTGCTTTAAAGACTCCTTTGCTAAAACATTTACTTAAGTGTTGAACAGACAACCTTTTGATTAATGTATGTTAATGAACACAAGTAGGGGTTGAACTTCTGATTGCACTGGTGTAGAGCCTCTAGGCTATTTGTTTTTTTATGTTTGCTGGTCTGGGCTAGCTAAAACCTTCTGAGCTGGAAGGCTATGATTGTCTCCCTAGCTAATCTACCCGCTTGTGATTGAAAAAGGGAAGTGGCGTTTTCAGACCTTTATAATATAAGGTTGCATCGAGAGGTGAGAGTTATTCTATTGGGGGTGGAAGTCACAAGGAACACAAGGTATTGTTAAATCACTTGCTAATTATATTCATCAGTGTTGGGTGCACAATTCACTTTTTAAATTGCATGGCTTATTCATCTTAAGTGGACTTTTATATGCATTGTAGATCTGTGACTAAAGTGATTACCATCGTCACTTTTAAGCACTGAGTTGGTTACTTTGTTTGAAGTAATACATTTTATTACACTGCTTGAAGCACTATGAGTTGGCTAAAATATTAGGACACATAGCATATGCTAAACCTTTGTATTTAAGATTAGATATTTAGTTGATTTAAGAGTGCAGCACATTTTTCACGCTTATTTACAGATTAGTAACCAGTGAATAGGTTATTCCTATGATATGTGAGGGGTCTGATAGTCTGCCAGACAGCATAGGCCTAACCTGGATACTCCTTATTTGTTAGGTTTCTCTTAGATGAATGCACCACAAACTATATTTTGTTGGTTATTTGTTTAGATGAAGCACTGAGATCTTGAGGAATGCTGAATTAACCTTTACTTCTTAGAAGGACATTACATGTATGTATACAGTAATACAGCATAGTAGAGAGGAAAACCTACACTATATTGCCAAAAGTATTGGGACATCTGCCTTTACACACACATGAACTTTAATGGCATCCCACATCTTAGTCCATAGGGTTTAATATTGATTTGGTCCACCCTTTGCAGCTATAACAGCTTCGACTCTTCTGGGAAAGCTGTCCACAAGGTTTAGGAGTTTGTCTATGGGAATGTCTGACCATTTGTGAAGTCAGTTACTCATGTTGGACGAGAAGGCCTGGCTCAAAGTCTCCGCTCTAATTCATCCTAAAGGTGTTCTATTGGGTTGAGGTCAGGACTCTGTGCAGGCCAGTCAAGTTCCTCCACCCCAAACTCGCTCATCCCATGTCTTTATGGACCTTGCTTTGTGCACTGGTGCGCAGTCATGTTGGAGCAGGAAGAGGCCATCCCCGAACTGTTCCAACAAAGTTGAGAGCATGAAATTGTCCAAAATGTCTTGGTATGCTGATGCCTTAAGAGTTCCCTTTACTGGAACCAAGGGGCCAAGCCCAACCCCTGAAAAACAACCCCACACCATAATCCCCCCTCCATCAAACTTTACACTTGGCACAATGCAGTCAGGCAAGTACTGTTCTCCTGGCAACTGACAAACACATACCACACCATCGGATTGCCAGACAGAGTAGCACGATTCATCACTCCAGAGAACACATCTCCACTTCTCTAGAGTCAAGTGGCGACGTGCTTTACACCACTGCATCCGACACTTTGCATTGCACTTGGTGATGTAAGGTGTGGATGGAGCTGGTCAACCATTGAAACCCATTCTATGAAGCTCTCTAC